CCAGGTTTCCACTGTTGACTATCCTGTTATGTTTAGATACAGCGCATGAACTTGGGCGTGGCATAGTAGATGTTTTACGGCGCTATAGACACAGAAATGATAGATACAGCGCCATCGAGGGCCTTGTTTTGATCTAATATTTGGCTAGTGTTTGTTTCTGGCGTCTTTTATTTTATTATTGTGGGTGCTTTACGTCATAGAACATTAAAACATTTTGGGCGGCACTGCACGACCGTGCTCTATGGATGAACCGCGCGAAGAGAAAGGCCACGCATAAGGTGGATCGAGGGTGTCAAGGAAACCCTGAGAAAACATAACATCTCAACTGAAAGAGCTGCGGAGTTGGCCTACCATAGAAAACTGCATCTCCCCTCGACGCTTAACGGCAACAGAGAATGAAAAAGTAAAGTAAGTTCTCCAAAACACAGTGTCTCCAAGCGTTTGTACGTCATCAAAATCAATGGGTTAAAAGAGAACATTAACTTAAATGCCGGCGGTGCCACACTGAACGGTACAACGTGCAGTTATAATGAATTGTTTAGAAGGTCGTTACGTGATCAGCAGTGACCTCTATTGTACGGACTGCCCATTGTGGGCAAAGGGGCTGTCGTGGGTGGCATCTCAAGGCTGGATCGGGCCGGGTTGGATCGGGCCGGGTTGGATCGGCCGATCGCTCATCTCGGTCGCCTGAAACTGAAAGCAAACGCGTTTGTTTTCAGGCGACGAGTGGGGCGATCATCCCGATCCAACCCGGCCCGACCCGATCCGATCCCATTTCGGCAATGGGCACCCCATATAAGACAACACCAACGTTTTGGCACATAGCCCGACGCGCGTTTCAAAGTGATGTCGATTTTTTCTCTTTTTTTTTTCGTAAGAGTTTTATGGCACTTGCAACACAATAAGGTCATATATGTGCCGAAGATTAGAGATGTTATAAGAGAGTAACAAACACAAAAAAGAAGGAGGAGAGATAATTTAAGGACGATGGATGTTTGATTGGAATGAAGGAGCAAACCACACCAGACTACCCTCCAACCACCCTCTGATGCGGATTTGTGACTCGGGTAGTGACTGGACTGGAAAATTATACGAAAACGCTACCTAATAATATTTATATAACGCATATCTACGCTCTACAGCATGTCCAATGCGCTTTACAAGAATTTTTACCCGAACAGACCCTAGAACAATCTGAAACATTCTCGGCTATCTGGGAAGCATACAGTGCAAGTAGCGAGTTGCACGTTTTGATGGGTAAGTTATGTGATAATTCTGCAATGTACAGCGCTTTGAGTTCTCTTGGAATTAGGCGCTATACAGATTCTCATTATTGTCATCCCCATCCTCCTCCTCCTCCTCCTCCTCCTCCTCCTCC